GCTGGCTACACACAGTAGCCCATGGGAACCCACTGCCACAGGGGCTGCAGCCTACGCTGTCGCCAGCGACGGCGACTCATCGGCAGCCCAGCTCCAGGTTGAGCTGTTGTTCAGCATCTTAGCTGTGCAGGGCAGTGTCACTGGCCCTCATATGTGGGATCCGAACCGGGGCCCTCTAGCATCCCAAGTCAGTTCTTAACCATCACGCCACTCGGCCAGCCCTCTATGTATTTTGGATATTAACTCTTTGTCGGATACGTGATTTGCAAATATTTTCCCTCATTCCATAGGATTGTCCTTTTACTCTGCTTATTGTGTCCTTTGATGTACGGAAGTTTTTAGTTTTGATGTAGTCTAATTTATGTATTTTTACTTTCATTGCCTGTGCTTTTGGTTTCATATTTAAGAAATCATTGCCAAATCCAATATTATAAAACTCTTCTCTGTTTTCTTTAAGAGTTTTACAGTTTTAGGACTTATGTTTAGGTCTTTGATTCATTTTGAGTTAAATTTTGTACACGGTGTAAGCTAATGGTATTTGTCTGCTAGGGCTGTCATAAGAGTACCACAGACTGCATGACTTTAACAGTTGGAACTTATTTTCTCACAGTTTTGCAGGCTGGAAGTCCAGGGTCAAGGTATTGTCATGGTTGGTGACCTTTCCTTGACTTGGATATGACTCCTCCTCTCTATATCCGTACATGGCCTTCCCTCTGTGCTTGTACACTCCTGGCGTCTCTCTCTTTTTGTAAGGACATCAGTTCTGTTAGGTTGGGGCTCCACGCTTATGATCTCATTTAACATGATCTTAATGGCCCTATCTCCAAATACAGTTACAGTAGGTCTTCAACATAGGAATTTGAGGGGATAGATATAATTCAATTTATAACCAGGTCATCTTCATTCTTTTGCATGTGGCTATCCAGCTAAGGGAAAACTTAAAAATTGTGTTCATTTCTCATGAGGATCTGTTATTACTTTGTGCAGTTAATCATGTGTCTTAATTATTGTTAGCATTGGCCACATGTGGGAAAAGTATTGTGCACATGTACATACACTCATGTACGTATAAACACATAAAGTGATTTGCCCAAAAATGTAGTAGTAGGCTAGAATTTATCATCTATAATGATGCTAGGAAATGATGTTGTATTTGTACTTCATTTAGAAACTAGTCTGCATTTTTCATGTGACTGTACGTCCTTATAGATTAATGAAAACAATACTTTAAAAAATTGTGTTCTCATGTAATTCTTCACCTTAATTCACAGAAGCCATGAAATACATTTTATATTATGTTTCCTGAGATATAATTGTGTAAAATTGACTAACCTGTTTGCCCAAACTTAGGAATTTGTTGAGGCAATTATTTTTCAATTTTAATTTATAACTGCATTTTCTTTTCATAATATATAGATGTGAAAATCACCATGAAAAACTTAGTGTATTTTGCTGGACTTGTAAGAAGTGTATCTGCCATCAGTGTGCACTTTGGGGAGGAATGGTGAGCAGAACAAATTCCGACTTGTTTGATTTATATGGAAAATATTATTTTACTCTGTTTATAGAATGAAAATTAAATGATTTTACTTTATAGCATAAGGTATTGTTCCTTCTGTTATTCCCAAAAAACAACTTTTGTGGGAGATTTTGGTGTAGGATGGTGACCCCTTATGTAAACATTTTCTTTTAAATGATAGCCTATAAAATGTATATTCATTTGCAAATCTCTTGTTGTATAATAGAGGTCTTCTTTTTTATTAAAGGTCAGCTGATCTGATGGCCTGGCAGCAATTTCTAATTTTGATTTATTTAAAATGGAACAACAACTTTGGGTGTTTGTGAAAAATATGAATGCAAACATCTAGATCTTATGATTTGTTTATTTTTTCCAATCTAATTAAAAAGTAGTTTTTTAAGGTAACCAACTTTATCAAGTCTAAAACATTCTAGTTGGTTTTCCTAGAAATAGCTTTTTATTCTACATTTGTGTTCTAGCATTTAATTCATATTAAATTATATACTTACAGTAATAAGTACAATTAGCATAAATAGGTTTGAGAATAAACATAGTAGATTCTTGGTGGAAACAGTTGGTCATAGTGGGAGCAGAAGTGGGTAGACAGACATCTAGAGATCTAGAGGTGCTTGTTTGTAAAGAGTTGATCTCTTTGGGCATCAGTTAGCATGTTTTAGAGAGAATGGCAGGCGAGTTGTTTGAGTAGAGCTCAATTCAGAGAGCATTCTGTTGGAATTTGAAGACCAATGTGCTGACTAGAAAAAATTCAGTTCCCATAGTTTAGTACTTAGACAGTTTTTGTAAGAAGCATTGTAAACATTCTTTACATACTTTAAGTGGACATTAAAAAATCCACATCTTTTTTCTCTTAAAGACCACAGCTGGCTGTTTTGGTTGAATAAGACAATTCTAATAAGAACTTATCTGTTATAGGAAATTTCTTATAATAGAAATTTAAATTCTATTTACCAATCCAGAGAGTTGTAAATTACAGTACTAAAATGGAAAAAAAAAATGGTTTTAGGTTGTTAGCTCCAAAAAATTGTTCTTTGAATACAACTGGATTTGTGAGGCTTATTTGTAAGGCCTTCTGTCTCCACAGTAATTCTTTGTGGCACAAGAGGAATGGATTCATTGCTTTTGCTAATAGTGTACCATGAATCCTTTCCTTAAGCATCTTTGTAATTTATTTGTGCTATAGACTAGTGGTTCAGTGATTAACAAGACAGATATCAAACAACTAGTTCTGTATTTAGTTGTTGTGATAGATATTAGGAATAAGTATACGGTGCTGATAAGAGTGGATAACTATAGGACCTGACCCTGTAAGCCTGCACTAAGCTCCATGGAATGTGTAGGAGTTAAGACAAAACAGTTGGAGTAGGGAGGATGAAGGAGAATTATTTTTTAGTAAGTAGGAGTTACCTTTGGAAAGGCCTGGTGGGAAGACGTTGGAGGACATGGAAGAAGGCTAGTGCTGACCAAGGGAAGAGTGGCAATTAAGGTGGTGTTAGATCCTCTGGGCCATGGTTCAGGATTTGGGTACTTTCTAATGAGTGAAGATTTCTAGGTAAGTGTAAATACACATTTTGCTAAAGACCTTTATCCACAATTGAAGGATTTCCTACTTGGGCCAAGTGATTTTAAGCAAATTCTGACTTGTTTTAACAAAGTAAAGGCAACCAAAAAGACAAAATTCATTTGAAAATATTTATCAGTTTGTAAGTACACATAGAGTGCCAGTAAAGGAATGTAAATGCCGATGAGATATGTGAAAATGATCTAAAGCTACTCTTATTAATTTAAATAGCACGGTGGACATACCTTTAAGCCTTTGGCAGAAATTTATGAGCAGCATGTTACTAAAGTGAATGAAGAGGTAGCCAAACTTCGTCGACGTCTCATGGAACTGATAAGCTTAGTTCAAGAAGTGGTAAGACAATAACTAAAAGTCTATATACTATATAACATATCTTTATCACATAGATCAATTAGATGTTGAAGTCAAGATTTGAAAATTCCAGGATATGTTTATAGTCAGTCTCTCCAACTTCAGACTAGCTGAGGAATTTGGATCCAAACCCATGGTCTGTTCTGCAGTTGGAGCCAGCGAATTGCCTCTTTTTATATGGAAAGAGAATCGATTAATGAATTAAATAAGCCTGTTTGTTATAAAGTAAACGTTGACTTTGACAAAATCATTAAGTCATTCATCCTTTGGATTCCCCAACTTTTGGGAGTTCCTGTTACCAAGGAATGAATTATTTCTGATGTCCTAAATTGGAACCCTGCAGAATTGAAAATAATATTTAACACTACTCTTCAGCTACTGTATGGGTCAAACAGCTTTGGTGAGCTGTTTACCATTCATACTATTATTTCTATGTGAAAATGCAATAAACTTCAGACATTTCAGTACTAAATACACTATTGGAATATTTTTTTTTTAAGTTGCCAGAATGGCAGTTTTTATTACAGAGGTTTATGGGCCTTTCTTAAGATGTTTTTATTTTACCCCTTCAGAAATCAAGATCAAGATAATCATTTACAACATTCTTTATATAGAAAGTAGTGTTTTTGAGTTGCACTTATACTCTCTACAAAATCATTTTGGAATGTAAACAAGGGGGATGGTTTGTATTTGGTCTTCAATCTCACTGCCTTTTTTTCTATTTTCTCTTAGCAATATTATAATTTGGTCATTAAAGAGAGTGTACTAGGTTGAGATTATGACTGCTTGTATTTATGATAATTGGTATAGGAAAGGTTGCATTTTATATTCTGAAGTATGCTGTTACAAAATCTATCTATCTATCTATATATATATATATATACTCCACAGTCTTTGAAAAACCCATTTTTTTTCTTTCTATGCTTAGTTCTGAAAAAAATGAAAAACTTTGTAAACTAGCATAGATATGGCTTTTTAAAATTTTTTATTTGTTTTAGATTGCACAATGTGAACTGGATTTGGTATAGTTTTTTGTTTTTGAACAGTGGTTTCCTGTCAGAGATGTGATTGGGCTTTGAGTATGTGTTCTATACATGTTACCTAACCCAATTTTTTGTGATTGCATATCTTTGTGTTTATTGTTTATTAATTGTTTATCTACTTATTGCTTATCTATTTATTGTTTACTTTTAAGAATCTTTTTCCTGATTCAGTTCATTGTGCAGTTTTGTAAAGCATTGAGTTTCCTATGATATATGAACAGCTAAAAAGTATTATTGGCTTACAGTGTTTAAGATGAAGTCAGTTGACTAAGAATAATTACAATGATTAATGTCTGTTTGCTTCTGTTTTAAAAATTCTTCAATTTATTTTTATCTGTTTATCTACTAGGAAAGAAATGTAGAAGCTGTAAGAAATGCAAAAGATGAGCGTGTTCGGGAAATTCGGAACGCAGTGGAGATGATGATTGCACGGTTAGACACACAGCTGAAGAATAAGCTTATAACACTGATGGGTGAGTGTTTTTCTATGCTGCTGGGGTACATGGTGCTTTGCGCCTTCTTGAGTTCAATCTTGGAAGACTAAAGGTTGGTGAGTTGTTTAGGATAGGAAAAGATTGGTTTGAGAAATAAAAGTTCCACCTATTAAATGTCCCTCTGTATCAAATTACATTACTCCAAATTGATGTAACTTTTGCTAACATCATGGGATATGCTTACAGCTCTTCGGACTTGATGATGTAAAAAGAAAATTGTTTGGTTAGGCAAGCATGCCTATCTTTTTGCCTTTTTGTTTTTTATCATGTACAGTAGTTTCTTTTCTGTAATAATTCTGTAATTATAATTCCTTTATCCCTCTGTTTCCAGGTTCTTGAGACTATTCCTCTTTGGGCCTTCTTTATTACAGGTTCTTCTTATGTTCAAAGAACATACCTTTGCTGATATTAAATATAAATATCTGGCTTACCTTCTTATTTTTAAGCCACAGGTAAATTTGGGGAAGGAATTTTTTCAGAATAGTTGATTGAGTAAAAAATTTACTTTTCTAGGTCTCCATATTCCTTTTGAAAGAAGAAATAACATTAATTTATTTACAAAATATATTGTCATTGTGTATTTCTTAGAGGAATCTAATAGATCTAAATTGCATTTTGTCTAAAACAGTAGTTAGGGTTGTTTCTGAAATCCTTTGTCAAAGGCTACTGTAGTATTATATTCAACCTCATAAAGCTCTGGGACAATTTTTTAAATGAAGTTTTGCTTGCTTAAAATTGCTTCCTTGTTACTGAATATGTTCAGTGAAAGCTGCTTTCCTTCTTAAACCAATAATGAGCCTGAGAATTGATGTTTTACTATTTTTAAATAGGTCAGAAGACTTCCCTAACACAAGAAACAGAGCTTTTGGAATCCTTACTTCAGGAGGTAGAGCACCAGGTAATGAAATATTAAACATAATGAAGTCTTTATCCATTTTTGTCCATATGTTTCTTTAATTTTTTTTTTTTTTTAAGTAGAGATTATATAAGATCAGAAGATCTGGGGATCTGTGTGCTGTTCTGGGGATTTTTATGAAACAGGAATCAGCTGATTCTTCTCAAGTTTTTTCCATTGTGTTTGGTAATTAGATAAAATTAATCAGATTCCGTTTTATAAAAATGGAATTATTTTTACTGGGAATAGCGCAAATGAATCTGTAAATCTATAAAAGATTAAAACCTTCTGATATTGTGACTTAAGTGGTACCTTTGGGATAGAATATTATTGTCAATTATGTACACACAGTGATTCTTAATGTTAAAATTAACATTTTTATTAATGAAATTTTAGTGTATGTGCTGCCGAAGCGAGCACATTATTAATGACATTTTAATTAAGAATCAGATAGACAGTAGTCATTGTTTTAGATGTTTGGAACACAACAATGGACAAAATGGGAAAAATCTGTCCCCATAGAGTTTGTATTTTAGATTGGGAGGAGGTGGGTGTGAAGTACATAATGAATGAATAAATACAATGTATAGTGTCACATAAATATTTGATATATTCATCCGCCTTGAATTTGGGGTTCGGAATTCTTGAGGTTCTCTCTATGCCTGATGCATAGCTGTCTCTTGAGGTTGCTCTTTATTATCATTCTGGAGATTCCCTTCACTTCTTTCTTGGGTTGAATCCCGTGTTTCCTGATTCCCATGGCTTCCACTCTCTTGGTTTGCTCATTTGTTTTGGTATTATATTTCCTCTTGTCGCTTTTCTAGAAGAGTAATCAGAGTAAATTTTCAGGACTGTATGTCTGAAAATATTCAGTCTTTACACTTGATTGACAGTTTGGCTGGTGGATTCAGTACATAAATATTCATTGAAATACTCTTGTTTACCTCTTCAAGACTCCCACTCATAATTGTGCGTGTTGTTCCTCTGGTCCAGAGACTTTATTTTATCTTCTCAAGAGAATAAGCCAGCAGCCTTCTGCTAGAGAGATGTGACAAATTCATACCAGCTGTGGTGACGCAGGGGCAGGGGTATGAGGATCTGTGTGGTGGTGGTGTTTTTTTTAACAGCTTCTTTGAGGAATAATCGACATAAGGTAAACTGTGTGTATTTAAAAGGTATAATTTGATAAGTTTTGACAAATGTATAGACCCGTGAAGCCATCACCATAGTCAAGATAGTGAACATTATCCATTATCCCCCCAAATTTCTTTGTGCTTCTTTGTAAGCTCTCCTTCTGCTTCTACCCATGCTTCCCCCGCCAGGCAACCCCCTATCTGCTTTCTGTCATTCTAGATTAGTTTGCATTTTCTAGAGTTTTATATGATTGAAATCATACATATTGTGTACTCATTTTATGTCTGACTTCTTTCACTGAGCAAAATTATTTTGTGATTCATTCATATATCAATAGTTATTCCCTTTTAAATTGCTGAGCAGTATTCCATCGTATGTATATGCCACAGTTTGTTTTCCCATTCAACTCTTTATGGTCATTTGGGTTGCTTCCTGTTTTTGGCTTTTACAAATAAAGCTGCAGTCGCCATTCATGTATAAACCTATACATATACTTCCTTTTCTTTTGGGTTCACCAAAGATGGAATGGCTAGGTGAAATGGTAGATACATGATTAACTTTTTAGTAACTACCAACTGCTTTCTGAAGTGATTGTATACCATTTTATATTTCCTTTGGTAGTCTGTGAATAGAGTACCAGTTTCTCCACATCCTTGCCAACACATGATATAGTCAATCTTGAATTTTATCTATTCTCATAGGGCTGTAAGTAGTATTTTATTATGGCCTTGATTTGCATTTGTCTTATAACTAATGATTTTAAGCATTCTTTCTTGAACTTATTTGTCATCTATGTATCTTCTTTGTTGAGGTGTCTGTTCACATTTGTTGCCATTGATAAAGATGATAAATTGTACTATATTCATGCAGTGATATTCTTTTAAATTGTCAAAATGAGTAGATTATGAATAGCTATACAGTTAAATCTTAGAAACAATGTTGGTTGAAGAATATAGGCTACATGGTAATATAGCCTGATAGTATTTATGTAAAGCCTGAAAACGTTCAGAACATTGTTGATGGATTTGTATAGACCCATAGTACCTGTACAAACACATGTACTTATAGTGATGATAACCTTCAGTTGAAGAGTGTGTTACCTTTGGAGGAAATGGGATTCAGGAAGGATACAGTATGCATTCAATAAATATTTGAATAAGAGCTATAAGTATTAAGTAACTGTCATTGAAAAGATAGAAAACCCAGTTGTAGTTGTTTTATGAAAATCATCTATATGCCATTTGATAATGTATTAGTTTTGGTATGGCTGCCATAACAAAATACCACAGACTAGGAGGTTTAAACAAGAAAAATTTGTTTTCTTGTTCTGGAGGCTGGAAGTCCAGGATCAAGGTGTTGGCACGTTGGTTTCCCCTGAGGTCTTTTTGGCTTGCAAATGGCTGCCTTCTCTTTGTGTCCTCTGAAGACTTGTTACAAAGCTTTCTCATACAGCTTTATGATTGTTATAACAAACCCAGCAAAGCAAGTGTAGATATTATTCCAGTTTTGCATACACAAACAGACTCTCAGAGTCATGATTAGTTTGTGCAGAACTAGGACTTCAGACTGGTTGTCTTGAATACAGAATTAGTAGTCTTAACTACCATGCATATCTTATTAAAGTTGGATTTCTCACTTTTTACCTTTGGTATAACTTAAAATAGTGTTTCCCAAATCAGTACAAGTTAAAACTTCTTTTTTTCAACTATAGTTGACAGTATTATGTATGGTTAAAACTTTTTGTGTGTGTTACATCTTGACGTTTCTGTGGTCCCTGAATGTAACTTGAGAAATCCTTGTTTGAAGGCTATCAACCTATAGGGACTTGGTTATTAATATACATAATGGCTTCACTGTAGCAGTCTAAAATATGTTTTTAGTTGTTTAAAATTGGATTTGCCCTAATGTATGAAGAGTGAAAAAGCATTAAAATCAAATATACTTGATGACTTAACTGTTAAAAAGGAAATAAATAAACCTAGATTCTTTGCAGGTTTCTAATTCTCAAATCCACTTTGAAAATCATTCTATTTTTCTTTATCTCAGATTTTTTAGTTTATAACCAGAATAATTTTTATTATCCTTCTTTATTAAGGATTTTGAGGTGCCAATGAACAGTAATTTTGTTTCCTCACGCAGTTGCGGTCTTGTAGTAAGAGTGAGTTGATATCTAAGAGTTCAGAGATCCTCATGATGTTTCAGCAAGTTCATCGAAAGCCCATGGCATCCTTTGTTACTACTCCTGTTCCACCAGATTTTACCAGGTATGACAGTTTTTTAACTTCATTTTCATATGAGGTTTATTTGCCAATGCATATACTTGTTTTAAAAGAATGTTGTTTTGTTAACTTCATCTTTTTTTTTAAGATTTTTATTGGGGAATTGGGGGATGGGAACAGTGCTGGGGAATTGGGGAAGGGGAACAGGCAAGTTGCTGTCCTTTTGTTCTTTAGTCTAGTTGTGGAGGACATTGCTTCATTGGCCCAAGTTGGCACCATCATTGCGCTCTTCCCGGGCGAGGCAGATCAGTCGCCGGCTTCTGGATGGCCACTCACGGCGGCTGCTGGCCGCTCACGCTGGCTGCTGGCTACATACGGTAGCCCATGGCAACCCACTGCCACAGGGACTGCAGCCCACGCCGTCGCCAGCGACTCACGGCAGCCCAGGTCCAGGTTGAGCTGTTGTTCAGCATCTTAGCTGTGGAGGGCAGTGTCACTGGCCCTCATATGTGGGATCCGAACCGGGGCCCTCTGGAGTCCCAAGCCAGCTCTTCACCATCGCGCCACTCGGCCGGCCCAGCTTCATCTTTTTTTAAGCTGCTGTTTATAATGAGGTGGTGTAGTGAACTTTATGTATGTAAATCTGGTTTAAAAAAATTCTGGTGGATTTAACTACACTTCTGAGTGTCAAGAGAAGAGGAGAGTAAATTAGGAATTGGTTTCTTCCTGGAGCTTCATCTTCCATACAGTAGAGAAAAATATTGATCCCATTTTATTTCATCATTGTCCGTTCATTCTTTATTTTCTTTAGCTGAGATATAATTCACATGTAAGTTTCAGGTTTATAACATAATGATACAATATTTGTGTATATTGTGAAATGATTAAATAAGTCTAGTTAACATTCATTACCATACATAGTTAAAAATTTTTTGTGTGCGTGATGAGAACTTTTAAGGTCTCTTTTAGCAACTTTCAGATATGCAATACCGTATTATTAACTATAGTCACTATGCTGTACATTACATTCCCAGGACTTATTTATTTTATTACTGGAAGTTTGTACCTTTTGACCCCTTTTTAGATTCCTGATATAAGTGAGATCATACAGTGTTTGTCTTTCTGTCTAACTTATTTCACTTAGCATAATGCTCTCAAGATCCATCCATGTTGTCTAATGTTCATTCTTTTTTTTTACCTTTTGAGTTTACTTATATCTTGTTACATGGCAACTATAACTTATTTACACGTATGTTGTCAAAAGGAAAACTCAAACAGATGAAAATGCTAAAATATTTTGAAGGTAACATGATGTTATCTTCAGGTCCGAAAAGACAGTGGGAGGAAACGGTTTCATTCTATACATCTTTTTAGTTTTTATCTTGGGCAGTCTTAAAATTCTTCTGAACAGAATATTCTCTTAAGCATGTTTAGTCTACACTGTGGTGTTAAGAGTAGTGTTTCTTAACACTGGTTGTGTTTTACTCACTTGGGATTCTTTTGAAAATTACCAGTGCTGGCCCATACCCCAGATCATTTGAAATAAAGTCTCTGTGGGTGTATTAGTCTGTTTGGACTGCCATAACAAAATACCCCAGACTAGATTGCTTATACAACAGAAGTTTATTCTCTCACAGCTCTGGACGTAGGAAGTCCAATATCAAGGTGCTAGAAAATTTGCTTTCTGGTGAGGCCTCTCTTCTTGGCTTGTAGACAGCTGCCTCCTCACTGTGTCCTCACATGACCTTTTCTCTGCATGCACAGAAATCAATCTCTGGCGTTTTTTACTCTTTTAAAGACAAGTCATAGTGGTTAGGGTCCTACCTTTTATAACCTCATTTCACCTTAATTACCTCTCCAAATACTGTCACTTTTGGGGTTAGGGCTTCACCATATGAATTTAGGGGGACACAGTTCAGTTCATAACATTGGGTATAGCTAGGCATTTGTAGTTTTTTTTTTCTTTTTAACTCTGTTTAACTTACTCCTAAGATGAGAGATTTAACACTGTTTCGAGAAATACATTGGTATGATGAATTTTAGTCTATCTTATACTTTAGAGATGGCTTATGAAAGACTATCAGGTATGTCTAGCATGTTGAGGACTGTGGTACATTTAGGAAACAACGTTTGTTATAAAACATGTTTATGTGTTTATTAACTGCCTGTGCTTTTTTTCTCGAATGTGTGATGCCCTCTGTTGGCCATAGGATGTTGATTGTAATGGACTGTGTGGTGTCAGCCAGAATTTTTCAGCCGTGGCCTTGTTGACATTTTGAGTTGGATAATTCTTTGTAGGGTGGACGGAGCTTTCCTGTGTAGGCTGTAGCACCAGTAGCACCTCTCCCTTTACAGTTGTGACAAAAATGTATCCAGACATTTCCATATGTTCCCTGGGGGCAAAATTGCCCCTGGTTTAGAATCAGGGCGTAAGCCCTTGTTTCATATCACAGGTACGTTCCTGGGGATCATGAGCACCCACAGTCCTATAAACAGAAGGGCAGAGTTTTTCTGACAACCAAAACTCAGATAGTTCTCACTGACCAATAAGATAAGTCTCTGTTTCTTTCTGAATTAACAAACCAGATACAATATTCATATTTTATGAAAGCACTACTATCATTATGTAAATCTTGTTGAACTAAGGATGTTCAGTAATATTCCAAGGCTGCTTCTTTGATAATGTGGCCAGCCATTTCAGTTTTAAAGATAGACAGATAGATAGACAGATAGATAGATAGATTTTTTTTTAACCATTTCATCCCTAGTGGAATGAAACAGGATCTGACCAAATACCATATATAAGCATACGTGTTTATCAATTCAAAGTATGGTACATGGATCACCTATGTCAGAGCTGGAGTGTTGGTCCAAAATGTGAATTTCCAGGCCTATTCCCTGACAATCTTTGGGGGTGGTATCCAGAAAATGAATCTTGAACATCCTAAGTAATTCTGCACTAAAGTCTGGGACACACTGATCTAGATAAACTACTATCCTGATGCCACTTGGCAGCAGCTCATCAGGCAGGCAGCTCTGCCATTAAACTTTTTGAGTGTCAATTTCTGTCACATCCAGTGATGGTTTTGGTTTCTGTTCCCTTTCTAACTGCCCAAGGAGCTCAGAACCCCAACAATCCTTGCTTTCACTACCTTCTTTTTTGGTTGTACATGGAAGGGACTGAACTTGGGAGCATGGAGGTAGAAGGCACATCAATAAAGAAGAAAGCACCAAAAAATTTAAAAAATTTTAAATCTGATAATTGAGAAGCTTTCCTTGGGTAAAGATCACCTAGGATTCCCTCTCTCCAGTAATGCTTACTGTCTTACTGGGAATTTTACTTATAACTTAACTGTAATTTTTACGAGAAACTTAGTTCACGAGTTAGCAATATATAGGAAACAGGTAGGTGTTCATCTGTTGATGTATTGATCAGCAAAGAAAGAGGGCCAAATAAGAAAGGCCGGCATTTATTGACATTAAGTTACAGACCAAAGTTTAGATGCGCAAAGCAGTGGTGAGTGCTTCTAAGCTTGAGATCATGACTAGATTGTCATAACTTCCATCAGTGATTCCCCAATGGTCTGGGAATGAGGAATGTGAGTCTTCTAAGAAAAAATAACAGCTGCTTAGGGATATGGTAGGGGTGCTTGACAATTGAATAGTAGCTATACAGAGCAATCTGTGTAAAGCTGTGAGCTATTCAGCTATACATACTATAAAATAAAGACTAATGCATTTTTTAATCTATGTTGTATTTTCTTTCACTGGCAAACCACTAATTTCTTTAGGCACTATCACTGTGCGAAAATGCTATGGATGTATCTTATATCTTATTTTGGTAATGCAAATTTTCATGAATTGATCTTTAGAAGATACATTTGAAGATGTGATGAAATGGCTTGCCGTTTTTGGTAATTTTATAATTTTATATATTAAATGTATAACACTGTTAGACCACTATGTATGGTAGTGTCTTTATCATAACTGTTTTGCTGACTGTGACTTTAGGTATTCTAATGACAGTGCTACAGACTATTCACATGATCTAAGGGTTTTTAGCAGCAAAATGGACTATCACTATGCCTGTCCCCTGTGATTGTAGTTCAGTTCTGGAGAAGACTATATGAAAGTAAAGTTGCCTGAGATACTCTTGCCTTGAAGAAGCTGTTTATGAGCTCCCTGTGTGATTATTTATTCTTACCCTATAAAATTGTAAGGTTTGCTAGTAAATAGTCTCAAAGTCTTCAGGGTCTGTCAGTATTCCTCATCATTTGTCCTGAAGACGAAAGTTTGGGGATTTATTGTGATGTGTTTTGCTGTTTGTTTTGTTTTTTAAACCTGTTTATATTGGTTTCACATTTCAGGTTCCCAGTCTAAGCACCATTTTCTTCCTTGTCCTATTTCATGAGTACTTTTTAAATGTCTCTTAAACTTATTTTAACACTTAATTATATATTGCATTTTTTAAAAGAGCTGTTTTATAAAGTATTTGTTGAGTCCCTAATTTCATTGCAGACTTTTGATGGTTTTATGAATTTGTTTGATTTAATGTTATTTTTAATAAGGGTTTAAAAATATTCCTGAGGGACTTATTTTAGTTTAATCAAGTTTATAAGATATTACTGAGGGACTTTTTCAACTAAATGATTTTTTAACTAAATGAAAATTTAAACTTATATAAGCCAAATAATTTTCTTTTGCCTTTGCTTCTTTTTAGTGAATTAGTACCATCTTATGATTCAGCTACTTTTGTTTTAGAGAATTTCAGGTAAGAGTTTTTGACAATTCTGGATTTTTGTATGTGCATAAGAGCCAGGAAGGTGTTATTCATGGGTAGAATATAGACCTAACGAACCCTGTGACAACTCAGCGTAGTCTTAGAAGAAACAAATTTCCTATTAGAGACAGAGATGTCATTTGTTTGGATTGTAGTATTTCTTCAGGACAGATTGCTTTTCTAGTATAGAAAAGGGAACCATTTTAAGAAGAAGAGGGTCCACTTAGCCTTTGCCAAGATGGGGCAAATTGGTAATGGTGATCAAAGAACATGCTACCCATCATCTGAAATAAGAGTGATGGGAAGAAGTCCATTTTGGGTCCAATTTATCTCAGCTCAAAGTGAGGAATTGCAGATAAGATGCTATTATTGTAAGACATTTGTAAGTTTTGTAACTCGAGTGTTAATTTTTTTTTTTTTAGCCATTATTGCTTTTTCTCTAAAATTAAAAGCAAAGATCTTAAAACAAAAAAGTCCTAAAAGACTTGTCTTCAAGGGCAGCATAGAAGTGGAGAACTAAGAATATAAGGTTTTGCCTTGGGGAGAAAAACTCCAGAAGGTGATAACCATCAAAATAAGGCCAAACTGAGAATTTGTACCACTCCCCATTTAATTTGTTTTTGCTTATGTGATTAGTTTATGGCTAAATATATACTTTCTGATGATTTCCTCACATGTTAAAATTTAGCACGTGTTCTTTTTCTATTTAAAAAAAGGATAATTATACTACAGAGATGTGAGGAAAGAAACACATTCTTTTTTTTTTTTTTAATGGTAAAAGATTGTTTGTTGAAGGGGTAATTAAACTCAGGACACTTAGTTATATACTTCTTTTCCCAAATATCAGTTTTGAGGTTTTTCTTTAACTTGAAACTGAAAAGATAGTGCTGAATATTTCAGTATTATTAAATTTTCTTTAATTTCAGAATGTAAGTATATACAAATTTATACAGTGTAATTTTGACACTGTAATTTGTTCAGTCACCTTCTATTTCCTGTCCAGAATTTCAAATAAGTACCATAAATAAAGTGGTGGGTTTTGGTTTTGCTTGTGCTATTTCACAACGGTTTTGATCTTGGGATTTGGTTGGTTTTCTATTACTTCAGCACTTTGCGCCAGAGAGCAGATCCTGTGTACAGTCCACCTCTTCAAGTTTCAGGACTTTGTTGGAGGTTAAAAGTTTACCCAGTAAGTTTTTCATATTTCTAATAAAATTTTAAACCAAGATCTTTTTTTCAAGATTTTGTCGCACACTGGTTCACTTTTTTAGTGGAGTAAGGAATTAAAGTAATGACAATTTTTATGTTACTTTATAGGGTCTGTTACTAAATCTATGAAAAAATGAGTTAAAAATGAACAGTATGAACCCTGACATATTGCTGAAACTTATTTCTTGTTTGTAGAAAGATACTTACCTTTAGAAGAAATGTGTAAAATTCTTACTTTAAAAATATTTTTTGAAAAATATTTTTTAAAGTTAAAATAAAATAGACACAGAAAGCCATGAGAAACACATGTATGTTGACTGCATATTCACGGCACATGTTCCTTTGACCTGCATATTTTCTGTGAATTTGGCAGTTGGATCCCATGGCATTATGAGATGCATACTTAATTCCTATGGCAAGAGTATAAGCAGTAGTGTATTCTTTTATCACGTCATGTCTAGTCACATCTCTTTTTAATGATATTGGCAGCTATTGATGCTCATTTGCTTACATCTGTTAATTTATTGGGAGTTGCAAAACAGTGATATTATTTTATTGTTTCTTTTTCATTTATTAGTTGTAATACTTTTAATAAAGAGATGCTTTCCTTTATTATTTGGTTCCTCAATAGTACAGTTCATATAGAAGAGGCAGGATTCTTTCTTGTTATTTGCCAGTTTTCTGTATTCTCTGAAAGTGATTAATTAGGTTTTTAATAAAATATCATTATGAACTCATATTTAATCTCTTCAAGTTAGCTTTTGTGTCACTGGTTTCACCCTAACATTGCTTAGTAGTAACCCTAGTAGTTAGCTTTCTTGTTCTCTTTCATGGCATGATTGTCTGTGCTCATCTTGTACATTTTTTTACTATTTTCCTGGAATTGGCCATTTTATCCAAAGAACCTTGATTCCTTTTAGTGGGAAAATTGTATTTCAAGACCTAACTGGACACTAGGGATGCTCGTTTCCATCAGGTTGGTCACTGTTTCTAGGCCTCCTTAGTGAACAGAGCTAGGAAATACATAGGTAAATGTATGGGATGTTTTGGGGTGGGAGGTGGGGGGTTCTGTATTTATTTAAAAATTTATTTAACAGACTTTATTTTTAAGAGCAGTTTTAGGTTAACAGCAAAAAAATTGAGCGGGAAAAACAGTTCCATACTTCCCCCCATTCCCTCCTTCTCCCCGCCGCCCCAACCCTCACACACCTAGCCTTCCTCACTATCAGCATAGCCTCACTAGAGTGGTGTGTGGTATATTTGTTGCAGTTGATGAATTACATTGACATGTTGTCACCCAAAGCCCTAGTTTACATTAGAGTTCATTCTTGATGTACGTTTTTTTGTTTATTTGTTTTTAGGCCAAAGACCATACTTTGAGAAAAACTGTAGGAGTGTGGATAGAATTGAAGTGGATTAACTCCAGGGATCTCAGTGGAGAAAAAATATTTATGAACACTTTAAAATTGCTATATAATTGTAGAATAGGTTTTTTTGACACATGTATGTGTTTTTTTTAAATAGATAAAATAACTCGTTAATGCTGACATTTACAATTCAAATTTAAGACTATAGAGATGTTTCTATAAACTTAATCTTTTTTTTTTAAATTGGGGTATTGGGGAAGAGGAACAGCCAAGTTGTTGTCCTTCAATCTTAGTTGTGGAGGGCGCAGCAAGCTCAGCTCCAAGTCCAGTTGCGCTGCTCAGCTCAAGGTGCTGTGTTCAACTAGTTGCGGGTGGGCATAGCCACCATCCCATGCGGGAGTCAAACCAGCAGCCTTGTTAAGATCGCATACTCTATCCACTGAGCCATCCGGGCAGCAGCTCGCTCAAGGTGCCAAGTTCAGTCTCAGTTGTGGGTGGGCGTAGCCACCATTTCATGTGGGAGTCGAACCGGCAGGCTTGTTGTTAAGAATATGTGCTCTATCCCCTGAGCCACCTGGATGGCAGCTCAGCTCAAGGTGCCGAGTTCAGTCTTTAGTTGTGGGCGGGTGTAGCCCATCATCTTGAACCAGACAGCCTTGTTAGGAGCACTTGCTGAGCCATCCTGCCACCTGTTGGCAGCTCAGTTCAGGCGCAGCTCACTAGCCCATGTGGGAATTCAACCGGAGACCCTGTTGCTCAGAGCTCGCACTCTTGAGCAAGCTCTTAACCAACTGAGCCACTCGGCTGGACGCTAAATTTCATCTCTTTATACTGCACTTGTATCTCCTTTCTTCCATTCTAGGACTCATACTTTTTGAAGTCATAGGAAATGAGAGAATTAGGATATCTCCTAATCAGTCACTCATTTGCTTGATTTCACCTTACAAACACAGGCGTCTTAGAATAGGAACTCTAATTCTACCATCAATTGGATCACTTAGAACTGTTTTAAAATATTTTTGCATGTGCTTGCCTCATTCCCCTCCTCTGCCATGTCTAGTTCGGCTGTCCAAAGCTTGTTTTCTAGTAGATTCTATTGGAAGAACCAATGGAAACAACGTTCCCTGAGTTTTTGTGTGCTGAAAACAGTTTGTGTCCTTTGTAAAGCCAGTATTACTGGATATACAGTTATTGGCTCATGTTTTTTATTCATTGGGTATCTTAAAAATTCAATTCCTCTTTCTTTAGGTAAAGTCTGATGATAAACTAATCTTTAAAAGGCATTTACTAAATGCCCAAATAATCTTATTTTTAAGTTCAATAATTTACTGTATGGTTTGTTTGTTAGGACTTATACTTAGGTCTTAGATCCATTTTCAGTTAATTTGTGTATGGCATAGGGATCCAACTTGACTCTTTGGCATGTGGGTATCCACTGGGATGTGGCCGTCAAAAATATGGTGCCTTGCTTATTGAGCGACTCCGTGGCTCTGATCCCCTCCTCCACTTTTATGTGGACCTTATGTGGACCGTCTCCTTCCTTTGCCTCTCTTGTTTCTGTGTTGTTTTTCTTTATTTCACTCCTCGCTGTTTCTTTGCAATCTCTGGACTTGTTCTGAAAGGCCCTGTATATTTGTTTTCAAGAGCTCAGGGTGACTAGAGTGCATTTAGTTTTTAGATTTTTTAATATTAGGCCCCCTTGTACTTAGTTGGTCTTGTATTGAGCAGCTCTTTATAGTTAAAGCTGTTGTACTTGGCTCACCATGCTTTTCAGTAACTAACTCTTGGCCATTTTGTGGTTTCCCTATTTTCTGGTTCATTAGATGTCCCATTGCTTCCCTCTTCTTTCTCCCATACGGTGTTGATATCATGCAGGTCTTTGTGGTAGTAATTGGTATGTAATACCTGTTCGTATTTTGGGGCTTGTGGAAATAACTTGTGTTATAGTTTTGTTGTAAATGTTGTTTGTGACCTTTTGTTTTTGCTGTCCAGTTATTTTTTGTTTTATGGTTGGATTTGGAGAGTTGCAAAAACTGTGCTGCTGTTGTAATGATCTTTCCAGAATCCTCTGCTACTGAAAAATGTTGAAGCCAGTATTTTGTTAGGCATATAGCTGGCATGTAAATAACAGTAGTAAAAAATTTTGTTCCTTAAAGTGATGATAAACATTAAGTGAAAAAATTTTCTATTATTAGCTAATAAAGAACAGAGATAGAAAATGTTCATTCCCTTTGATTGATTGACTTATTAATTAATTAATTATACTCCAGGGAAATTGTTCTAAGAGCATATTCAAAAGAAAAAAATTCCAGCCATTTGAACAAGGATGTTGATTAATTTTTTAGCAATCAAAGTGATTTATGATACCATTTATATTGAATAAAATTCACTAATTTTGGCAAGTCTTAAGAAATATATACAGTCATACAATCATTAAGACAGTCATGATTTTTATCACCCTCCAAAGTTATCTAATTCTCCTTGTCAGCTAATCCCATCTTTTTCTTTCTTCATGGCCCCTCTACAACCACAGATCTGCTTTGGTCACTGTAACTTTACTTTTCCAAAATTTCATATAATGGGATCATATACAATTTATAATCTTTCGTGTCTGACTTCTTTCACTTAACTAATGATTCATTTATTAATATTTATTGAGTGATACCCTGAGAGGTGCCTTCTGGAGCAAAGTAGCCTGGAAATGAAGGGTTTACTAAGTACTTGTACTCTATATAGTCCCAATAGACACGAATGAATAATAGAATCCCTGCCCTCAGCCCTCACTATCCGGTTGGGTAAACAGGTATTTATACATGTAGTTATAACAAGTGTAATCCTTAAAAAAGTAGACATGTGAGGAAAGTACTGGAGAAATAAGAGTGGAATAATTATCTTTGTAAAAATCTCTGTAATGGAAATTTAAACAACTTCTCAGCCTCCAAACAGAATCTTATATGGAATCATAACATATAAAACATAGAAATGATAATTACTTTCAACATTAAGCATTACCTTTTTTTATTTTGCTCTTTTTTGATAGTAAATATCTTATTTTTTTGTCTTATTCCTAGTGAAATTTAGATTTTTTAAAAATCTTTTTCTTTGGGGTTTTCATTTTTCTTGGAGGCTGATTTTAAGAGTTCTGTGTATGTTAAAACTCTTAAATCTTTTCGTAGTTATTGATAGTTTTCTAAGTTTGTGTGCCTTAATATTTTCATGTTTTTTGGTTTTTTTGAGGATTTTAATGAATTTATTTGAGCCAAACTGATGATGTATGCTGGAGAGCAAGATCTCAAATGCTCCTTCATTTTATTTATTTATTTATTTATTTATTTATTTATTTTTAAGCTGAGCCATCCTGCCACCTGTTGGCAGCTCAGCGGCTGCTCAGCTTGGGCCGGGAATCGAACCGCTGTTGCTCAGAGCTCAAACTCTTGAAGCAAGCTCTTAACCAACTGAGCCACTCGGCCGGCCCCTCCTTCATTTTTTTTAATGTACCAAAGCTTTGAATTGTTATAGACTCAAATCTTATAGTTTTTAAAATTATTTCTCTTACTACTTCTAAGCTCAGAAGTACTTCCCAATCCCGTTATCAGATATTAGTTTGTATTTTGTTTGTTTGTTTCATTGTGGCTTAATTCTTTACATTTAAATTGACCTGGAACTTGTATTTGTATAACATCTTTTATTTTTTTCAGGATGGAAATGGAGTTGTTCGTGGTTATTACTTATCTGTGTTTCTGGAGCTCTCAGCTGGCTTGCCTGAAACTTCCAAGTAAGACATGCAGTTAAATGACAGACTTTAGTGTATGTTTATGTACATTCCTCTTAGCATTTTTTATTACCTGTTTTGTTAATTACTGTATTGTTATGTTTGTTAAGGTGTACACTAGAATGTAATCCCTGGAATAGTATGATGGCATAGACGGGCAGTTCTCAAATTGTATAGCCTCAGGACTCTATATTCTTAAAATCTATTGGGAACACCCAAGAGTTTTTCTTTATGGGGGTTTTATCTATTGATATTTTCTAAATTAGAAATTAAAACTGAGAAAATAATGTTTGTTTTATTAATTAACTTTAATAAACCTATTGCATGGTGACATTTTCTTTTTTAAGTATTTTCTTGAAAAATAACTTTTTCTAAAGCAAGCAAAATATTTGACAAAAAAACTTGTTTTGTGTTTTTGGAAATCTCTTACTGTATGGCTTAGAAAAAGGTGACTGATTCTTACATCTGGTTCTATATTTAATTTTGTGCAATAAGTGTTTTGGTTGAAGTATATGTATAAAATTTAGCCTCCCAGATTTTCAATATCATGTAGTTGGGGAAAGTTTATTTTTAATGAGATGTAATTCACATACCATAAAATTTGCCTTCTAAATAAGTATACAATTCAGTGGATTTTATTGTATTCACCGAGTACTACAACTATCACCAGTATCTAATTTCAAAACATTTTCATCTCCCAGAAAAAAACCCCATACCCATTTTCAGTCACTTCCCATTCCCCTTCACGCATTCTTGGTAACTGCTAATCTACTTTTTGTTAAGTATGAACATTTTATTTATTTTTAGTAAGTGTAATTGGCATAAAACAATAGTTTCAGGTGTACAACATAATGGTTCGATATTTGTATACACTGAGAAATCAGCAACAGTAAGTCTAGTTACTATCAGCCACCATTAAAAGTTAGAAAATTTTTTTTTCTTGTGAGGAAAAAGGGGGAACATTTTAAAAGCAGTTTTAGATAATCGTGACTCTTCTTTGATTCTGCACCAGAATTGAACAAGTGGTTGGTTGTTGGACGTAATTTGTAATGTGGAATCTGGAACCATATCAGTAAATTTTGTTTCTTACATTAAAATCTGTTGGTTTGGTATGAGATGTCTGCTTTCAGCTCTGATGGAGTAATGGAAGTAACCCTTTCTTGTGCAACAACCAAGAAAAAAGAAAAGTAACATTTTCTAGATACTAGACATGAGGCAAAAAATGAAAGCAATTCTGATAGGCAAGAAACAGACAGATGAGCCCTATGATTGCCCTAGTTTGCAGCCTTGAGAGAGAGTTTTCAGGTTATAACACAGGGAGGGGGAAGTAAGATAAAGTCTGGCAGACTCCCTGAGTTGAGAAGACAGTGCTGAGTGTCCAGGAAGACAAATACAGCTAGAATGTATGGGCAGAATATCAGGAGAGAGCTGCACAGGCAGAGAGCTCCAGAGATCTGTAGAGGGTTCCTTTCAGGTACTCCGCAGAGTACTCATCAGGGCTCATTTGTGAGGGAATTACCTGAGGTTGGGGAAAGAACCATTTGAAGATTAGAGGGAGTGGTGCCTGGTGGAGAAAGTTAGAATTTATGGGGCACTGGGTAGAGTACTCAGGAAATTTTTGCGTCCGTAGTGGGGAATAGTTAATTTCTAGACTGAACATTGCTCCGGACCTACCTAACAAATAAAAGCAAGACCTCAAAGGATCAAGTTGTTTCCAAATAACTGCATCCCAGAGCAAAGCTCATGAAAATTTGTAAGATCACAAAAATATCCAGCATCCCACAGAGTAAAATTTAAAATATCTGCTGTTCAAAGATTAATTGGTATGTAAAGAGGCAGAAAGACATAACCAATGAAAATAATCAATCAAAATTAAGCAAGAACTTTTTATGTGGGTTATATTTATTGATATTTTCTGAATTATAAATTAAAACAAAAATTTTTAAAAATTTATCAATTCACTTAAAATCATAATAAACCTATTGTATATTAACATAAATAACATTTTCACGAATAACTTTTTCTAAAGCAAAATAATATTCGAAGAGAAAACTTGTACTTTGTATTTTTGGAAATCTCTGAATGGCTTAAAAAAAGAAAAATAAAGTTTCTTGTGAGGCATATGAGAGGACATTTAGGTCAGTTATAACTATTTCATTTGTTCAAAAGTTAACTAGAGTTATAAAAGATATAAAAGACTCAAATTGGACTGGAAAATGAACTATATTTGAGATGAAAAATACACTGGATGGCATGAGCAACAGATTAGATATTGCAAAAGAAAAGATTAATGAACTTGAAGGTATAGCAGTAGAAACTGTCCAAAATGAAACAGAAAAACGAATTCCGAAAAAGAACAACTTGAAGCAGCTTAATGTAGAGATAATTGGAGTCCTCAAAGGAGGAGATGGGAAGAAAAAAATATAAAGAAATAATGGTGAAAACTTTCCAATCTTGATAAATACTTTAAACCCACAGACTCAGGAGTCTGAATGAACTATAAGCACATGAAACATGAAGGAGAAATAGCAAAGCACCTTATAATCAAATTGCTCAACACCAATGATAAACAGAAAATCTTAAACTGGCAGTGGGGGAAAAAGACATATAAAGATAAGGATGAAATCAGATATCTCACTGGAAACAATACCAGTGAAATAATAATAGACATCTTAAAAGGGCTGAAAGGAAAAACATAACCTAGAATTCTGTAGCCAGCAAAAATATTTTAAAAAAAATAAAGGCATTTTCAGACGTATTTTCAGACCGAGACTGTAAGAAATGTGAAAGCATATGCTTCACATGGGAGGGAAATAATACTAGTTGGACATCTGAATCTAGACGAAGAAATGAAGAACAGCAGAAATGGAAGTTCTATGGATACATACAAAATGTCTTCTAGTAAAATAACTTCAAATGATAATTGATTAAACAAAAATCATAATATTGTATTTTTGGGTTTATAACATATGTAAGGGTAAAATACATGACAACAAAAACATAAAGGCCGAAAGGGTAGAGCATGGAAACATAATTTTGTGATTCTGATACTGTGTGTGAAGTGGTGTAATAACAAAGCTAGACTGCGATGTTATATACTATTGTATTAGTTTCCTTTGCCTTCTGTAACAAATTACCACAGACTTGGCAGCTTAAAACAATAGAAATGATTTCCTTCATAGTTCTGGAGGCCAAAATTCGAAAACTATTGCTAGGCCAAAAATCAAGGGTTTAGTAGTGTCCTAGCTCCAGAGGCACTAGGGGAGAATCCGTTCCTTGCCTGTTACACTTCTGGTGGCTGCCAGTATTCCTGGCCTTGTGACCACATCACTCCTGTCTTTGCCTTCGGTCACATTGCCTTATCTTTTTCCATCTCTGTCAAATCTTCCTGTGCTTTCCTCTTACAGTAACACTTGTAATTATGAATACATTTAGGGTTTACACAGGTAATCCAGGATAGTCCATCTCAAAATCCTGAGTTTAATCACAGCTGTATACTCCCTTTTTTTTGCCTTAAAAGGTAACATTCACAGATGCCAGGGATTAAGATGTGGATATCTTGGGGGGGTGGGTTGGTGGGTGGCATTATTCAGCCTACCACAACTATGAACTATAAAGCCACTGCTAAAATGACAAAGACATATAGCTAATCAACTAAGGGGATAAAATGTAAACTTAATCTTAAAGAAGGCAGAAAAAGGTAACAAGTAATAAAGAACAGATGGGACAGACACAAAAATATGTTAATGTATTTAAATGGTCTAAACACCCCAATTAAAAGGCAAAGATTGTCAGATTGGGTAAAAAAGAGTGCAGAAATATAGTGCAGAAATGCACTACATATGTAAAGATATACTAGTACTAGCCAAAGCAAGTTGGAATTGCCATTTTAATATCAAAGTAGATTTCAAACCAAAGAATATTATCAGAGATGAAGTTTATTTCATAGTAATAACAGGATCAATTAATGAAAAGGACATACAACAATTCTAAACATTTACCTTATGTCTCTGATAATAGAACTTCAAAATACATGATGCAAAAACTAATAGAAGTACAAGATGAAATAGACAAAAGCTCTTCTTTCAATTGAATAACAAGTAGGTAAAAAATCATCAAGGATATATATAGTACTTTTTTTTTTAAAAGATTTTTATTGGGGAATTTGGGGGATGGGAACAGTGCTGGGGAATTGGGGGAAGGGGAACAGACAAGTTGCTGTCGTTTTGTTCTTCAGTCTAGTTGTGG